CCAACTACGGGTTCAGTCAAATTCAATAGCTTTTTTATAACTAGAATATTTGTGTTAAGAAATTCATTAATTATGTACAAATGTTAAATCGAATTCAGTTATTAGCAACTTGAAGTCGTCAAGCCAAAATTTAGAACTCATAGAGTTAAAATTATGGCTCCGCGTCTGCATATAGATAACCATGCACATGAAAAAATGATCCAAGTGCCGGTTATTTTTAGTTTGAGCAGTTAGGAAATGGCTATTTAGGTTAATTCGTCTTGTTAAAACTCCTTGTCCCTTGTGTCTGGAAGGGCACTTGAACTTCTACGAAAGTAAAACATACACCTCATAGCTAGCATCTTAATATATAACTTGCGGGCTTTATATATACAGCAATATTCTCAAGTAAAGAGCTCAGGTTCACTATAGAACCAAATAACAAGAAAATCTAACCTCCTACATATTTTATATGATTCAAATTAGAATTAACATGATGTTAAAAATAACGTTGGAAAGTTCTTTAAACTAGAAGGCTGACAACCTGCAGGCTGCAGATGGGTTGGGAAGAGTGGGATATTGCTTTTTCTTTTCCATTTCTTTGGTCTGATGTCCGATTAGGCGATTACTAAGATGACTAACAAAATAAAAAAACCAAATAAACATTCTTAATTCTACTACCCATGTTAAGAGATCTTTAAACAACTGGAGCTCTATATATATACGGGCAAATTTACCATCTCCAAAATAAGTGTGAGATTATATTGAGGCTGATCGATTAAACTGATAAGATTTGGAGTGCGGGGATCTACGTATCTGATGTTCGACATGATCTTAACAATGATTGCTTACTGTTTGAATTAAAATTCACTTATTTATAATTCACAAGTTTTCATATTTGAAAATGGTACTATGTTTTATTAAAAAACATAACCAACAAATTGTTTAGATTCTCCAAATACAAATATTGTCATGGTACTGAGAGTATTTTAAAATTTTTTCTAAGACGGTAGTTTTTGCATGATATATATATATGGTTGATTGCACATATACTGAGGTTTCTATGAGGGGTGATTTGGTTCAAAACCAGATTATCCTAGGATTATAAGCAGATTAACCCATTATTTCGGTATAAATTTATCCTGGTGTTAACTGATACATTCAATGAATCATAAGATGAATTTAATCTTAAAATTTAAACCAGGAACCCACTTAATCCCTTCAACCAAACGGCCCCTAAATACTGAAAATACCATTATTTTCTTAACCATTACTAAGGTCTAAGTCATAGGAAAAACTAATTGACACCCATGACAAAGGGAGGGCCAACGAGGGCAGGTCAACTAGAATTGACAGTCTTCTATGCTGGCAAGCTTCTGATGAAGTGATGTAAATGTCGAATCCCACATCGAATGGGAGAGAAAAGTGAAGATCTTTATATTGCTGGCACAAGTTTATATGGTACGTATTTTTGGACTCGATGATGACATACCCGAAGGGATAAATCTGTAAGGTTTGTTGGGCCAAAACGAACAATACATATCATGAATTTAGGCCGTGACAAATATGGAATCAGAACCCGACTCTCCCTCGGTAGAGAAGGCGGCATGAAGGAATAAAAGGGCAATCTATGCATGAAACTTGTTAACACAATATGTACAGAAAATATTTGACAAAACAAATGGCAACTATCGACTGGTAGCTAATATTGATATATCTATAGTACTCTTCTATTACTGAAAAAGGAAAGGAAAAGAGAAATATGAAAAGAAAGATAACAAAAAAAAAAGTGCAGATAAGTTTGCCTATCTCATTCTGACATGCATGTCACTGTACTGACCCATATAGCTGGTTGTTTGGAATGTAGGTAAGATTTCAATCATTGTATCCAATATCTTTTCCACATAGGAAAAATCTTATCTAATCTTGGTGTAGACACCAAGACGCTGACAGTGCATCACCATGTTCGCCAACAACACTATAGTTTTTACTTGTAACATATTTTTATATTATAATTCACAAAGGAGGAATGAGTAATTTGAGAATCGAATCGTACCTGCCATATCGGAATGTAAGATGGAAGGGCTTATCGCTTTTCTTATTATACTATTGTTCCTAGCCCCGGCCCTACGTTTGTTCAATAATATTTTTTTTTCCTTCTAGAAGCAGGGTTTAATAAGAGAAGAGTGAATGAAGATCTCGGAGCGGTTTAATCAATCAGTTGGTATTACTAGACTATAACACACTGGAATTAAATGACTTCTAGTACGTTTTAACTAGGGTTCGCACCTCAACACACATCTTTTGATTATTGTCTCTTCTTCATCACCTCCTACCTTTTAAATGGCACTTTGCAATGCTTGGATTTATTCGATACAAGACGTAAGAATTACAACATTTGACTCAAAACTAAAGTTGTGGACTACACTCTCGTGACTTTCCCTCTCTTTTGGATGAATGGGATAGTCTAGACTTTAGAAAGTACTTTCTAATCTACGGTCCTTGAGAGCGAAGAGCTCAAACAGAAAAGTCTAAGAAATAGGAGTAAATTTCATCGTGGTAATTTAACTTTGTGTTAATTACCCAAAAGTTATTTTTCTTTTTTTTGTTACGTAAAAATTATTTAATTTTGTGTTCATTACCCAAAAATCACTTTTATTTCTTATGTTACATAAAAATTATTTTACTTTGCTCTATTTATCACAAAAGTGACATTGACCAGATTTTATAATATTTTTACTTAAAAAGTCTATTATGTCCTTAACATTATAAATCCTCTCATTTATGTAATACCTTCTATATTATATACTATATAATATATTTTTACCTAAGTATTTTACTTATAATTAAAATAACTTTAAATTATTTTATTTATTATTTTTATAATATATACATACATTTAATTTTTCTATGGCACTCAACTTGTTTAATCATATTTAAACATGAACATATTTTAAATATAAAAAAATAAAAAATATTTATTTTTTAATATGTATTTCAAAGATATTTGTGTTTCATATTAAATTTTTTAAGCTTTATCTGTTAATATTATTTATTTGAAAGTATTAATCTGATGTGTCATTTTTTTAAATGTGGGTATTCTATTTATTAAATTAATGGGTTTGGCGTGGATGATAAATCAATGAGCTTTAATTTTTTTAATTTTTATTATATATTTTATTAAGCATGATTAAGAACGTGGACTTGACATTTGTTCATGGTAATGTTACTAACAAATTTAGTAATGCTACTTATACATATTAAAACTTAATATTAAGAAAAAATTAAATGTACGAATATATTATAAAAATAATAAATAAAATAATATTAAGTATTTTTAATTATAAGTAAAATACCCGGGTAAAAGTATATTATATAGCATATAATATAGAAGGTATTAGATAAATAGAAGAATTTACAATGTCAAGGGCATAATAAACTTTTCGGGTGAAATATTTGTAAAATCTGATCAAAGTGATTATTGTGATAAGTAGAGCATAGTAAAATAAAAGTCATTCAACTTTGTGTTCATTGCTCATTTGAGCAATGAACACAAAGTTGAATGACTTTTACGTAACAAAAGAAAGAATAATGACTTTTGTGTAATGAACACATAGTTAAATGACCATCCATGAAATTTAATCGACCCGCTTACTCAAATCCTCATTTTTCTTTAGCAAATTCCATCTTCTCTCTTCATATTTGTTTCTTTTCAAGAACATTTTACAGTTGTTTTTAAAAAAGGGGGACATATGTTACAGCTGCACAATTCATAATTTGAGCTACACAAACAAACCTAAAATCTTAGTCTTTTTCTTAATTGTAGGCAGTGTTTTAAAAGGCATTTTCGGGGCGAGCCTTGGGGCGAAGCGCACCAAAAATGTCTTGAGACGATGGTGTGCGGCAAAAATTTTAAGAGGGTACACCCAGGAGCTGTACGCCCGGGCGTTCGGGGCGTACGCCAGGGCATTTGAGGCATAAGCCCAGAGACTTTTTTAAATTAAAACAAAATTTGTTGAATAAGTCCTTCATATAATACCCAAATTCTCAAAAGTCAGCTTGGTAATTACTCAAAAGTTTTAAAAAGGGACTGAAATTTATTAAATTTAAAAGTCAAGACCTTTTTTATTGACTGAAGCGCCAAATCATGGTCTTTTCTAATTTTTTTTATCTTGTCCGTTAGTCTGCTAATATCTCCCAAAAGTAACAAATATTCAAAAAAATTTACAAATACAAAGAGAACTCCATTCTCCTTCGTAGTAGCAAGTTCAAAGTTCAAATTGTAGGTTAGTCATTCTTTTTGTTCCTCCATGTAGAAAACTTCATTTTTTCGACTCAAATTACTTGTGCTTCTAAGTAGCGTATAATAGATTGTTTTGACTAATTTTTTGTATGGATGTAGCACATTTATATATATACTTTTCATATATTTATAGTTTTCTTCAATTTTTATATAATTTTACATGTTTATAAATATTTACTGTAAATATATTATTTTATAAATTATTAAAAATTAAATACATATATATGGGGCTTACACCTCGCTGAAACATATGTAAAACGCTTCGCCTTACGCCCATGTCTTTTAAAACGCTGATTGTAGGTCATAAACTAGATATGATTAATTACTTCTTTTCTATATTCATCTAATAATAAAGCGGATCAACATGAATTATTGGAGTACGATTAGCTCATGAGCCAATTTCCCTTTTTTCTGTAAGAGACATGCCCCCGGAGACATCTATAGTAAAAAAATGAAGTAACAAATTGTGTCTCCGAAATGTTCTCAAGTTAACAAAGCCCTATTCTACTCACTTGTAATAAGACTAAATTCACTCTTCCAAGAAAGAGATCTAATAAATTATCAAGCATTTTCCACCAACATGAACTAGATAAATGGAGGAAACGCATTAAATTCTTACCAAACGAATCTTAGAGTAATTTAATTAATTAATGACACTCAAACTAAGGTCTTTAATTTACGTGCCTGTATGTTCTCCAAACAAAACATTCCCGTTGCATTGATGAAAAATAAGAGAACCTCTTCGTTATAACTTTCAGCAGTGCTGATATTTCAGCAAAAGCATACACATATAAAAATTTCTGTCAGTAATATTCGCTTTTATTACAGTCACCTTGAAGAGAGAGAACAAGGAGAATAAAATGGCATTGCAATTCTTTCCCTTTTTTCTTTAGCTTTCTCTATAGAATCCTCTATATATTTCAGACAAAGTAAATGGCCAACAAAAAGGAAAAAAAAAAAAACAGTTACCTTTTTGAGTTGGCCATTGTTTCTATGACTTCTCGTGAAAAATAATAGTAGTACACATTTTGCCAAATGCTTATGGCAAAACCCTCTCTCTGGTAAATGTTTTAGCCTCTGTCAAATTTTAATTCTGCATCCGTCACTAAATATGTCTATCTTCTTTTACCACTAAAAACTCGCAAAACTCCATCTGAGTCCCCGGCCACGAGTGTGCATTGATTTTCTTCCTTTTGCTGCCAGCATACACTACTAACGAACCCATGGTCGAACCCGGTTAGACCCGTGGGTTCACGCCCATAGACCCATATTGGCTCACCCCATCTTTTATCATACACATAGACTTGGTTACTCTCTGAGCCACAACAAATTAATCCACCGGGTCTCCATACCGATAACCCGACGAACCTCCTACTATTATCGTGCCCCTTATAGGTACGAATAACATGTTGATTCTCCCCATCCCACATTTTTAAACACCCGTCTACGCTCGAAGACACAATGGTACGTTCATCAAGAAACCGAATGTAAGTAACCGCTTTTTGATGTCCGTCCAGGACGAAAAGTGGGTCCGTCATTTTCCTAATATCGTAAGCGTAGACCCTCCGGTCAGCGCATCCAACGGCCACGATTGGTCCTTTAAACGGATTAAATTCCACGCAACATACCGGATTACATTGCTTGCTAGGTTGTACCTTAGCCAAGCACTTACCGTCGTCCACGCAACGGGGGTCCCACATTTGCATGGTTCCGTCGTCCGACCCGGATGCACCCAAAACCGGATCCGAATGGCAATAGTCAATGCTCCAAACCCGTCTACCACCATGCTCATCTCGTTCGAAAACGGGCATTTTCTTCTCTAAGTCATATTCCATGACAACTCCATCATAATCACCCGACCCTAAAACCCGACTCCCCCATCCGGGTTTCCACTTTAAACTACTTAGCTTTGCCGGAGTACACATGTAAAAGTTACATGCATTGCCATGATCCAAAGAAACAAGCCTTCCACCTTCTCTCTCTTCTTGTAACAAAGAATTTACGTTGTAAATTCTAATTTTCCTAGCTATTCCACCAGAAGCTAAGAAATTACCAGAAGGGTCAAATTCTAAAACACCAAGTGTGTCACAAGCAGATCCATTAATGCTATTGTTGCAAGAATTAGAAATGAAAGTAGAAAGATGAAAATCCCATTCACATCTTGCTTTTTCTTCTTCTTCTTCTCTTTCTGTTTCTTGTAATTCTGATCCTAATTTCTCTTCTCCTTCTGCTACTTGTATTTCTGCTATTGCTTCTTGTCTTGATGAGATATCTGTCATTTCCCATTCATGTCAAAGTGATGGTTAGCTTTTTGAAGAAATAATAGTTGTATAGTAGCTAAGAGAAGAGTTGGTGCAAGACATTTTAGGAAATTAAGCAAGAAAAATAAACTATATACTAGATGGATTTTTGAGTAGTAGTATAGTGTAAAGAATACAGGGAATTGGAGTTAGATTTGGTTATTGGTGTAGAGAGAAGAGAAAAGTATATGGTTTAGTAGTATTACAAGTGGAGGAGACAAAAAGGAATTGTGGTAGCATATGTACCTCATATTTCTTTTGCAAACAACTTAAATGCTGTGGATGCTAATGCACACAGTGTTACGTGGAATAAGCAAAGCCTTTTGTCTCTTCATAAAGATTATGTACTCTTATTAATTAAGTCCAATGAAATATTGAGAATTTAACATAAGGGGATTGATATAACAAAATTTTTCAGCTTTGTAAGTTGGAAACGGATAGTGTCCCATATTTTTTTGTTGATAATCGTTGTATTCAAGACTGGTTTTTATGTATATAGATTAATTTTATAGGGTATTTATTATTTTTCATAGGCACAAGTACTATTGACTAACTCTATCCACTAAAACTTGGACTGATGGGAAGAATTTTCTAATATTTTTACTTTCACTGAAATTTAAACTTGTCTACCTGATAGTTCTTATCCCATTTTATTTAGTGTCCCATGATTTTTTCTACCACTTGACTCAGAATGTGGGGACAATCATGAGATTTCTTGAATAGGCATCACCAGACTGGCACTTTATCTTTAACCAAATAATGTGTGGATACAGATTTAGGGTATGATCGATTGTGCCTCCACGTATGTTTCTATGAGTCCGTGTTTAAGTAGCTAAAAACTATGCCGGATATATAGTAGTATAAGTTACCGTAGTAAAACCTGTAGCTTTGATGAAACTTTGTATTCATACTAAAACATTTACTTAATATATATAAATAATTTATTTTGAACTCAATAAATAGTCTTGTCCTAAAATTTAGAGTTTTATAAATTTAAATCCCGAAATATAAATGTACATTCATGCTATCAAATATCGATGGAAAAATAATATTGTATAGCCGCTCTCAAAATAATAACCAAAAAAATGTATATTGTTTGTAGAGTTTTTGTATATATATATATATATATATATATATACACATTCTGTATGTTATATACAATTATATAAATTTTATACACTTTTTCGGCTACCGAATGTAAATAGTTTTTGGTGCGGGCTAATGTCACGACCCAAATCCTAACCTGTGGTGATGCCGCCTATCGATGGTACTAAGCAAGCCGTCATTTCCAAATACTCCAAATATTTAACAGAAAAATAATTCAAGACATTTGAAATAGGCAAAGTTTTCATAAACAAGGGGGTAAAACCCAAAACACAAGTGCGAAAATAGCTCCCAATATCGGGGTGTCACTAAGCCATGAGCATCTATACATGATCAGTCTAAAAATGAAATGACTGTAACATTTTGGATCCAAATACAACGAAAAAAGGATAAGGAAGGAGAAACAAGGATTGCGAACACTAGGCAACTACCTCAGTATCTCCAACGGTCAGCTACGCGAAATATCAACACTCTCCGCGTCCAAAAACTCCTAGATCTGCACACGAAGTGCAAGGTGTAGCGTGAGTACAACCAACTCAGTAAGTAACAATAATAAATAAGGAACTGAAAGATAGTGACAAGCTACACAGTTAAAATTTATTTTCAGTAGTCTCAACAAGAAAAGTAGACATGCTTTCAAATCCGACAAATTAAGTCAAATCAGTTTATTTGTGCCAAATTGCAAGTAAAAACCAAATAAAAGTATCCTTCAGAAGTTTTCCAAAATCAGTGATATATGGCAACTATGTACAACAACAATGAAATCATATACAGCTTCTCAGGGGCAACAATCACTCAATCCTCCCATTCACTCTAACCTCACAATCACTCATTCCTCACAGTCACTCAGCACTCGGCACTCGCACTCAGTACGTACATGCGCTCACTGGGGGTGTGTACAGACTCCGAAGAGGCTCCTTCAGCCCAAGCGCTATATCAAGCCAAATTATGGCATAAATCAATAAAAACATGCTGCGGCGTGCAACCCGATCGCACAAATAACCTCACAATCAGGCCCTCGGCCTCACTCAGTCAGCAATCTCTCCAGTCTCTCGGGCTCTCAGAAATCAGGAAAATCAGCCGAGAACAACAATAATATGATGTATCAATAAGAATAATAGAGACTGAAATATGATATGCGAACAACACTGAGACTGAGTACAAATAACATTTAGCAGGTATTCCAACATGTAACACAGCCTCTGTGGGTCTCAACAGTACCAACACATAGCCTAATTATGGTCTCTAACATAATTCACAGTCAAATTTCTATAACACATGAAGAGCATATAGTTAACAACAAGTTTATTCAACTTCTCAGTTTCACGGAATGGACCAAGTCACAATTCCCACGGTGCACGCCCACACGCCCGTCACTAGCATGTGTGTCACCTCTAAAACAATCATATAACACCAAAATCAAGGGTTTCATACCCTCAGGACCAGATTTAAAACTGTTGTGTACCTCAATCCGAGCAAAACTCTACTCCAATATGACTTTGCCTTGCGAATCGACCTCCAAACGTGTCGAATCTAGCCACAAGCAGTACAATACAATCAGTATAGACTAAAGAAATCAACTCCATAAGAAAAATACAAAATTATAAGCCAAAATCCGAAATTGGTCAAAAATCGGCCCCGGGCCCACGTCTCGAAATCCGACAAAAGTCACAAAATCCAAAAACCCCTTCACTCACGAGTCTAATCATACCGAATTTATCAAAATTCGACATTAAATGGCCATTCAATTCCCCAAAATTAACTGTCCAAATCCCTAGCCTCAAACCCCCCAAATTTTACCTCAACACCACACAATATATGTCGGAACAACAACGGGGAACAAGATTATTGATCAAAAACGAGTACAAGAAGCTTACCTCAAAACCCCCCTCGAAAATCCTCTCCAAAATCGCTCAAGCCCGAGTTTAAAATGTTGAAATGAGACTAAAATCGCGAACCCTTGTTTTTTAAACATTATGCCCAGGCTTTTCGCACCTGCTGCTACTTATCCGCAACTGCGAAAACGCTTCTGTGGTTGTTCCTTCGCTTCTGCAGAAACCACTAAGGTCACTGGGCTCGCACCTGCGCTCTAGGTCTTGCACATGCGGAGGCGCTTCTGCGGCCCTTTGTCCGCTTCTGCGGAAGGAGCCAAGCCTTCAACCCTCGCGTCTGTGGAGCCTTTCTCGCAACTGCGGGCTCGCAGATGCGCATTCTCCTTCGCACCTGCATTTCCCCCAGGCCAGCCCCCAGTTCCGCATCTACGCTAATCCCGCCGCACCTGCGGCTAATACCCTCGCAAGTGCGATTACATCAGCAACAAACCAATTTCAGCAATTTCCCCAACTCAAAACCAAGTCGGTTAACCACCCAAAATCAACCCGAGGCCCCCGGGACCTCAACCAAATATGCCAACAAGTCTTATATCCCAATACGAACTTAGCCGAATCCTCAAACCACCTCAAACAACATCAAAAACACGAATTACACACGGATTCAAGACTAATGAACTTTAAAATTTCCAAATTCTACAAATGACGCCGAAACCTATCAAATCACGTCCGATTTACCTCAATTTTCGCACACAAGTCACAAATGACCCCATGAACCTACTACAACTTCCGGAATCGGAATCTGACCCCTATATCAAAAAGTCAACCCCCCGGTCAAATTTTCCAAAAAATCGACTTTTGTCATTTCAAGCCTAATTCTACTCCCGACCTCCAAATCACAATCCGGACACGCTCCTAAGTCCAGAATCACCCAATGGAGCTAACGGGACCATCAAAATTCCAATCTAAGGTTGTTTACACATAAATCAACATCCAATCGACTTTTCCAGCTTAAGATTTCAATTAAGAGACTAAGTGTCTCAATTCACTCCGGACCCGAACCAACTAACCCGATAAGTCATATAACAGCTATAAAGCACAAATGGAGCAGTAACATAGACTAAGCACAAATGGCTACAGCTCGTGAAATGACCGGCTGGGTCGTTACATCATCCCCTTCTTAAACAAACGTTCGTCCTCGAACGGGTCTAGAAACATACCTGGAGTCTCAAATAAGCGTGGATACCTACTCCACATCTCCCGCTCTGTCTCCTAAGTAGCCTCCTCAACGGGCTGACCTCTCCACTGCACCTTCACTGAAGCTATATCTTTTGACCTCAACTTCCAAACCTGCCGATCCAAAATGGCCACCGGCTCCACATCATAAGTCAAATCACCATCCAACTGAACCGTGCTGAAATCTAAAATATGAGACGGATTGCCGATATACTTCCGGAACATAGTGGCAGTGCAAGCTTGTAAGCCACCTCGCCAATCCTCTGAAGTACCTCAAAAGGCCTAATGAACCGAGGACTCAACTTTCCCTTCTTCCCGAACCTCATAACACTCTTCATGGGTGAAACATTCAGCAGAATCTTCTCCCCAACCATGTAAGCAACATCACGGACCTTCCTGTCAGTATAACTCTTCTGTCTGGACTGCGCTGTGCGATGCCGCTCTTGTATCAATTTGACCTTGTCCAATGCATCCTGAACCAAGTCTGTACCCAAAAGCCTAGCCTCACCGGGCTCAAACCAACCCACCGAAGATCTACACCGCCTCCCATACAAAGCCTCGTATGGGGCCATCTGGATGCTCAACTGATAACTGTTGTTGTAAGCAAACTCCGTGAGTGGCAGGAATGGATCCCAAGAACCCCCAAAATTAATGACACAAGCGCGTAGCATGTCCTCCACTATCTGAATAGTGCTCGGACTGTCCGTCCATTTGAGGGTGAAATGTTGTGCTCAACTCAACCTGGGTACCCAACTCTTGCTGCATGGCTCTCCAAAACTACGATGTAAACTGCGTGCCTCTATCTGAAATGATGGAAACTGGTACACCGTGAAGGTGAACAATCTCTCAGATGTAAATCTCAGCCAACCACTCCGAAGAATAGGTAGTACCAACTGGAATGAAGTGCGCGGACTTGGTCAGCCGATCCACAACCACCCAAATAGCATCGAACTTCCTTAAAGTCCGTGGGAGTCCAACTCAAAATCCATGGTGATCCGCTCCCACTTCCACTTTGGAATCTCTAACTTCTGAAGAAATGCACCTGGTCTCTAATGCTC